CCCCCCCGGGTGTGCGGGACCTGCTGCCCCCGGGGCGCGGCACCAGCCTGGCGAGTTGGCTCTGCCCCGGGCCAGCCAGGAGGATGCAATTCCTGCCCCTCTGGCCTTGCCTTCATCCCTTTTTACTCCACAGGCGTGTTTCTGGAGTTCCCCCCCTCCTCCCGTGCAGTAACAGAAATCAGGCCAGCCAGGGGAGGAGGAGGCAGCAGCTATTTCAGGGAGCTGCTGTTATCTGCTCTCTGTTAATCCCCCCGGCTGGCTGGGGGGAAGGTTTTCCCGGAGAGCTTTACTGGGAGGGCTCGTATTAAACATTGGAGAGCGAAGAGGAAGAAGAGGATTAGTGGGGGAGAGAGGAAGCTGCTGGTTTTACACGGGTTACCCATCTGCTCTGCTTTTACGGTGCCACAGCGTGAGCCGTCTCACTCGGGTTTGGTTTGTTTTCTGCCGTTTTGGTTTTTCCCCCCTTCTTTCCTCTCCCCACCCCCTTCCCTCTCAGGTCTCTGTCTGCCGAGGTCCCTGGGCATCACTGCTCCCCCTGGATCCCCTTCCTCCCAGTTCCACCTCCTGCTGGAGCGGAGCTGAGGAGACAATGGAGCTCAGGACGGTGGTGGCCACGGTGGAGAGCGGGGAGCAAGACACGGTTCTCAAGGTGCTTCAGGTCTACAACCAGGAGGTGAGTGAGCACCAGACCTGCTGGCAGCTGCTGCTGCTGCTGGCAAGCCTGGCAGCAGGTTGTGGGATCCCGTGCCACCCAGCAGCTGTGCCCAGTCTGTCTCCTCTGATTGCATCTGCCTGCAGTGACTGCCATGAAAATGGTACAGACTGCTTCATCTTGTACCTGCAGATGGCTTTTTGCTTGGTGTTTTGCTAGGGAGCAGCTGAGCAGCCTTTCTTTCTCTTGGTTCCTTGGTATGCTGGAAGTAGAGCACATAGAAGGGATTTATATATTTATTAATTTTAAAATTATTATCCAGATCCCAAGTAAAACCTGGCAGGGAAATAAACATTAGTGTGAAGACCAAGTAGGAGGAGTTTTTTTTGCTAAGGCAGGGTTTGGAGGTCATGAAGCTGAGGCCTGGGGAGGAGCTGCAGGTGAGATGGGAGTTGGGATTTGCAAGTAAAATATCATTAGAGGTGGGTGGGGACGGGCTGCTGGATTTTGATACAGGTGCCTGATCTGAAAGCTGACAATGAGAACAGCAATATTAACAAAAAAAAAAAAAAAAAGAAAAAGGAATTTTTGGGAAGCAGAGATGGAATTGTCTCTAGCCTTCAAGTGGCAAAAGATTATCTGTGGAGCAAATCCCTATTGAAATAGACTCTGGTTGTCAGGGAAGTTTCCTTCTTAGGGTTTCCACCAGGGTAGGGCAGGTCCTGCAGATCTCTGTGACTCACTCTGCACCAGGCTTGAGTAGGTGGGAAGCCAGCAGGGAAAACCTGGGAATATTTTGCACGAGTGTGCAAGAGGGAGAGTGTTCAACTGTTGCCAGCAGTCGGTTTTGAAACGGGGGAGAGAGCAAGATGGGAAGGAGCAGGTCCCTGCTAAAAGCAGTTCTCAGGGTTAACATCATCTGCAGCAGGTGCAGTGCTGGAGAAACCAGGAGTGCAAATGGAGTTTGGGGTGGAACCAGCTGCAGGCATCAAACCACGATGTTTTCTGTCAAATTCCTCCAGCTGGAGCCTTTATTGATGTGTCAAGTTTAGGAAACTTGAGGAAATGCCAGTGGTTTTGCTTGCTGCGTGAGGAGAGATGGAGCAGTCCAAGAGGGTTATGAAACAGCAGAAAAACCAAGCAGCTTCCTTGCATCATTTTTTATTGTAAAAAAATAATTGTACTGTGTGCTTTTTCTGGGGTTATATTTTAACTGATTGTTGCCTACAGAGTCAATTTTTGACTGCCAAGAGTAAATCACAGGTGTGGCAAAAGGGCTGGGCAGCCAGACAACTGGCAAGGGGCTGAATTCATTCAAGGGGATGAGCTCAGGTGTTCAGACCTGTTGGTGGGAAATTCATGAGCTGTGATTGCTCGGGAGAATGAGTCCAGAGTATAAGAATGATTGATTGTGGTAAGACTAATTACTGAGCAGCTGTGTAAGTGTGAGCAGTGTAGCTCAGTAAAAGGTGACAGTGATGGGAGAATTGATACAGTATCTGCACATTCCTATCTCTAGATCTGGCTGTATCTATACATATCTAATTAGTGGTTTATAAGTGTTAAACCTTTTCTGTCTCACAGCTTGGATCAAGTGCTATTTTGGGGTAGATGAGGGACCACTGGAAAGTGCTGCTTGTCACAGGGGGCCTGTGATCCTCTGTGCTGCCCAGGTCACTGGCAGCAGATGCAGCCAGAGAGGAGAGTGTCTGTGGGAGAGCAGCCAGAGGAGACAACACAGGAATGGCTCCTCTGAGCAGAGAGCAGGATGGTTTGTTAAGGAGGGGGGCATTGTGAAGGTGTAGAGATTGGGTCTCTTGTGTTTAGAGAGCATTACCTGAATAGTTCACAAGTAACAAGGAGACAGTACTTTATCTTGGCCAGGAAAAAAGAACAGGGAATGCCAAGGGGAGAAATGTGTACGCACAGCTTGGTGGTGTCACCGAGCAGAGGAATTACTGGCTATTACAGGACATTGGGATTGTGATGAATACCCACTTTGCTGCTGCAGATTTAAAAATAAATCCACTCATCAGATGGGCACAGCTTTGGCCTGGGGCTTTCAGCCTGTACTGCAGAGCCAGGAAGAGGGCAATGGGTGATGTTCAGCATGGGTGTTGTTTGAGGATGAAAGAGAAACGGGGGCTGCAGAACAGCAGGAACCTGGCTCAAGGAAAGCACCTCAGACCTGGTGGTGTCCATCTCTGTGCTCTGTGGTCCCCCAGCTGTGAAGCATGCAGTTGGAGTTGCCTGGTGGTGGGAACAGCATGGGGAAGAAAAGGCTCTTGTCCTGTTTCTCAGGAGCCTGTGCTGCTTGTTGATAGCCCCACAGGCATGGGGCTCTCCCAGCCTGTGATGCTCCTCGCTGTGCCAGCTGCTCCAGAGCTGTGCTTGCTTTTGCTATGTGTTGAGAGACCTGCTGCTCTCCAGCTGAATGCCCCCCCCCCTTGGCTGGGGGAAACAGTTCTGTGAGTTTGTCACCTACTGCTTATTTTGACTGGTGCTTTTGCTCTGCCCCCACAGAAATCTCAGTGCTTCATCTTTGACGATGAGGAGCGGGAAGAGAGGAAGGTAGGCACGTCCTTTGCTTTCTTCCTCTGGTCAGGGAGATCTGCTGCTACTTCTCTGTACTCTTGTCCAGCAGGGCTTGGTGCTGGAGCTCCTACAGGGAAAGAAGGAAGTGTTTAGGGAATGGTGTGCTCAGGGCACCTGGCTCCAGTTTTCCATCAGTATTTGGTGTTGTAGGATGAGGGTCAGTGTCCTCCCAGCGTTGGCAACCCCTCTGGGTTCCCTGATGTGTTATAGTCTCAGCCACGGGGGTGTAAGAGGTGTGACCCTTTGTGTGGTGGCATGAGTCTGCTGGGCAAGGGTGACAGTGGCATGCAGGCCTCTGGTAGGTGTATGTGCTGTGAGCCAGCTGCAGGGGCTGACTGGGGCTGCATCTTAGCAGATCTTAGCAGAAGAGATATTAAACAGACATTAACAGATGCTTCAAGCTGGTGCAATCTGGCACTCAATGGAAAGAATCTCTCCTGCCTTTTCCTTTCTGCTCCTGCAGCTCTTTAATGCCAGGGCAGACCTTTGTGTGGCTGCACGTGGTTGGTGAGCTGATCTGCCTAAAGAATAACTCTTCTTTTTTTTTTTTTTTTTTTTCCCCCTGGATTATTTTCCAGCTGGATCAGTTTTATGGTCTCATTCACTGGTGGATTGTGTTGATGCCTGTGTTAGCACAGCAAGTGTGGGCCAGGCAGCCAGGGTGGAGAATGGGACTCTTTGGTCTGTGCTGGAAGCTTTTCCAGGTGCAGCCTGAGGTGTAGGACTGGATCTCAGAGGCCCGAGCTCTTTGCCTTGCTCTGGGACACTCACACAGGCCATCAACTCCAGCACAGCCTTGGCCTGCCCCACTTCTGGGGTGCATGCCATGAGGTATGAATTGTGCATCACCATCTCTATTCTTCTGAAGGTTCAGCCCTGGGCACATGCTCTGGGACCTCTTGAACCAGAGTCAGAGGCTTTGGTTACTCACAGCTGTGTCTTAACTCCTATGTCCCTGTCCTCTCATATGGAAGGAGAGGAATGGCTGTATCCTTTCCCTTCTCAAGGGTGGCATTTTGGGACGTGCTGCATGAGCTGAGGTCGTTCAGTTCTGCCAGCCTCACCTCAAGGGCTAAAATTAATTTTTAATTTAAATTATTTTTTTTTCTTAATTCCTTCCCTCAGTGCTTTTATTATTCTGAAGTGTAACTGGTGGGGCTGTGCTAAGCCTCTTGCACTGAGTGGTAGCAAACCTGGCAGCCTTGGAGTCCCTGACTCTTGCAGTGTGGCTGCAGAGACACGTCATGCCAGAGCCCTGGGGAGAGCTGTCCCCTGCAGGGTGTCTGAGCAGAGCAGTGGGGCTGCACCTGGGGGACATGCAGTGCTGCTGTGTGGGGCCTTGCCCTGCTCTGCTGCTCCTCCCTGGCTGGCACAGGTGGGGCTGAGATCCACAGGGGTGAGATTTCCAGCTCTTCTGAATTGGTGTTAGTGGAGCTCTGCCTGTCTGTACCTACAGAGGATCTGGGCTAGTAGGTCTCCAGACAGCACTGATGTTTAGGGAGGTACTGCTTATTTGAATCTCCTGAGGTCTCCTCACCTCCTTTCCCAGGGCATCATGTACTCTGCTCACCTTGCTCGGGTCCTTTTATCCTCCCTTGGTGGTTTTCTAACTCCTCAACTTTTTCAGCCTGGTTCTAGAGCACCCAAAACAGATGCCTCCCTAATTTTAAGGCTCTGGGTGTGAGTAGAGAACTGCTGTTAAGTTGGTGAAGCCATGAGGGATGTTTTTGCCCTGCCCTCTCTTTGTATAATGCAGCTGTCACATAAACCATGTTGGCCTGAGCCACCCTAGCCATGGGTGAAGCTGAAACAGAACAGCAACCTCCTGGTCATACTCTTCCCTCACATCTGGTGTCCCCTCCCAGCTGTTTCTTGCTGGGTGTCCTTGCTCAGCCTGGGTCAGTATCAGATGCTGGAGCCAAACACTTCCCAAGTGCTTCCAAGCACCCACCAGAACGGAGCCCATCACAGACCTGTCTCTGGATGACACTGGTGTCTCCCAGGGCAGACCATTCCAGAGGGTGGGGGAGCACTGTGAAGTGTCAGTGACCAGGATTTCCTTGTTTCCAACCACACAGAAAATGGCCCAGCTGCTGATCAAGTTCATGGAGAGAGAGCTGCAGCCGTCCTGCCAGGTCACCTGCCTGGAGAGCATCCGCATCCTGTCCCGGGACAAGCACTGCCTGGACCCCTTCACCACCAAGGAAGGCCTGAAGACCCTCTCCAGGCACGCTGGCATCGATTCCTCAGAGGAGCTCATCGGGGAGGTCCCAGACTTGGACGTGATCCTGGAGTCCCTGAAGTGTCTGTGCAACATCGTGTTCAGCAGCCCGCGGGCGCAGGAGCTGGCGGCGCAAGCGCGGCTGGTGCTGGGCCTGGCCCGTCGCATCAAGCTCTACAACGAGAGGAGCCTCCCCCACGAGGTCAAGTTCTTCGACCTGCGTCTGCTCTTCCTGCTGACAGCCCTGAGGGTGGACGTCAGGCAGCAGCTCAGCCAGGAGCTCAGGGGCATCAGCCTGATGACCGACACCCTGGAGCTGACCCTCGGGGTGAAGTGGTTGGACCCTTACGAAGTGGCCACCGAGGAGGGACTTCTCCCTCCTTTGCCTCGGCAGGAGACAGAGAGGGCCATGGAGATCCTGAAAGTGCTCTTCAATATCACCTTTGATTCCAGCAAGAGGGAGGTGGATGAGGTGAGCTCCTGGGCTGTCCCACGCTGCTGTGTTTGCGTGTTTCTGGGCTGTGTTTGGCTGCTGGTTTCTCTTCCTGGGTCACCTTGGGTTACTGTGGCCCTCTGGCAGCTCCTGGGTGCCTGTAAGGGGGGCAAGAGACCTCTGTGTCCATGTGTCCAGACCTTTGTCCCTAGAGCATGACCTCTGTCCAATGCATTATGAACCCTTAAGACCTTGGGAGTGTTACCATTTAAAAGTTGGGTATTTTCCTTCTTGATGACATGACCCGTTAGGCAAGTGGGAGAGCAGAGCCCCCAGATAACTCACTTCTGAGTGTGGTCTGGTGTTCTTCCACCTTTGGAATGAGGTGAAAGGAAGGTGTGATGCAGAACATCTCTGGCTGATCCATGGGCCTGTTTTGTGGCCTCTTCCAGCCCTTGACACAGTGTTGTAGGGTGAGGGGAGAGGTGTTGGGCAGCAGGAATACTGTGTTGACTCCCAAAGGAGAATCAGGAGGCTGGTTCCACTGACACACCCTGTTGGTGGGAGATCTGGGCTGTGGGCTGCAAGCCAGCAGGCTTTGGGGGTGGGGGATCCCCTCCCTTTCTGATCCAGGTTCTCCTTTTCTCTCTTGGGGCCAGGAAGATGCTGCTTTGTACCGGCACTTGGGTGCCCTCCTGCGCCACTGCCTGATGATCGCTGCGGATGGGGAGGAGCGCACGGAGGAGTTCCACAGGTCTGTGTTAGATAACGAGGTCATGATCTGCCCTGGAAACAGGCTCTCCCCAAGGCAGATCCTGCCTGACCTGGGCATTAACACCTTCTGCTTGTTTGGTAATTGTGAAGGTCACTGCTGACAAATAGCAAGTTATTTAATTGTCTGTCACCTGTGCCACGCTGGGGCGTTGCCTTTGGCCACCACTGGCCAGACCTTGGGCTGCTCAGATTGGTCCCACTTGTTCCCTGTGTCAAGATCCATGGCTTCTCAGTTGTCACTGCAGTCGCCTTGGACTCCCAGCCAACAGTTCAACTACCCAAAGAGCAGTTTTTAATTTATTCCCTTTCAGTGGTGTGAGGAGCTTGGGTTGCAGTCCAGAGGCAGCTTGGATCTTGGGGTCCTCAGACTCCTGGAAGTTAGGAATGAACCTTGCTTTCTGGATGGCTGAAGAACTTCTGTGAACAAAGACCTGTGACTGTATTCTCTTCTCTTTTATGTGCTTAGCCACACGGTTAACCTTTTGGGCAACCTGCCCCTGAAGTGTCTGGATGTCCTCCTGACCCCCAAAGTCCGGCCAGGCTCGCTGGAGTACATGGGTGTCAACATGGATGCTGTCAGTATCCTGCTGGATTTCCTGGAGCGGCGCCTGGACAGGGTGAGTTGTGAGACTGCTCCTTCCCACCCCCTCACTGCAGGGCACCTTCCCTTCAGCCTGGAAAGGCCCAGTTCGTGGGAGCACCAGTAAGGTGTGGCTGGTTTGGAGAGGCCCCTTTATAGAAGGGGCAGTCTTTACCAGAGGCAGAACTGTGATGGTTGGTAGGACTAAAACAGCATCAGTTGGCTGGGAAGGTGACTGTGTCCTGGCTATGGGCCAGGAGGTGAGGTTGGTTGAGGGTGAGGTAGGAGATAGTGATACCAGAGCTCTGCTTCACTCAGTAGTGATCCTGGTGGCAGCTTCTGGAAGCTGGAATTTGCATTCTTGTCAAGCTGGCTGTGGGTTTATGTCCCTGGAGCTATTCCAAAGGGGCTGGAATGTTCCCGCTGCTCTGGATGCCCCACACCAGCATTTCCAGCAGTGCTGTGCCACAGCGCAGGGCTTGGAAAACCCTGTGGTTTGGGAGGGCTGGAGTAATGATGGGCCTGTAGCAGGGGCTGGAAAGCTTTGGTGTGTCTGTTCCCTGGTGGTCTGTGCTCATGTTCTCTACCAGAAGCCAGACAGGCCGAGCTTGGTGTCACTAATGCCTGATTGGCTTTGTGGGCACTTCTGCAGGGCCACAAGCTGAAGGAGAGTTTGACCCCTGTGCTGAACCTGCTGACTGAGAGCGCCCGGGTCCACCGCCAGACCAGGAAGTTCCTGAAGGCGAAGGTACAGGGCAGCAAGTGCTGAGGGGAGGAGGGCAGCAAGGGGCCTGGGGACTGCTCTCCTGCAAGGACACCTCCCTCGCTCCGCGGCTCCTGGCGGGAGGGGGTGGAGGCCTTTGGAACCCACGGCGTTTTTACTCTGATTGTACGATGTTTAGCTGATGGTTAAAAGCGTATCTGTTTTCGCCTGAGCTGCCCTTGCTGTTCCAGCTCCCCTGATGCCCTCCCTGCGCGTCCCTGCAGGTGCTGCCGCCGCTGCGGGACGTGCGGAACCGCCCGGAGGTGGGGAACGCGCTGCGGAACAAGCTGGTGCGGCTCATGACCCACATCGACACGGACGTCAAGCACTGCGCGGCCGAGTTCCTCTTCGTGCTCTGCAAGGAGAGCGGTGAGCGGCCCCTGCGGCGGGGGCTGAGCCCCCCGGGGGTGCAGAGCAGCCCCGCGTGGCCGTGGCGGGGCTGGGGTCTCCTTGGGGGGAGGGGAAGCACAGGGTGGTCTCTCCCCGTCTCCCGCAGTGTCGCGGTTTGTGAAGTACACGGGCTACGGGAACGCTGCGGGGCTCCTGGCAGCACGGGGCCTCATGGCCTGTGATCGGGAGGAGGGAGAGTACTCGGAAGATGAAGACACAGATACAGAGGAGTACAAAGAGGCAAAGCCCAAGTAAGGAAGGCTGCTCCTCCCGTGTGGCACCCCTCTTCTACCCCTTCTTCCCACTCCTACTCTGTCCCTGCCTTCATGCCTCCCTGCCCACCCCCCTGTCCTGCTCTTCCACGTGAACGTTTCCTTCTGCATTGTTTGGCAGTTTCACCCTCAGCTTTGATGTCCTGTTCCCCCCTCTCTGCCTGTCCCTTGGCTGAAATGCCCCTGTGGCTGAGCTGCTTGGTGTGCAGGACATTCAGGAAGAGGTTGGAAGGGCCACAGTGTGCTGTCATAGCCTTTGGGGATAATGAGATGAGCAGCACTCAGAACCAGCCTTTCTGTTGTGGGCCTCTGCTTTGTAGAGCCAGAGAAGGTTTGACACAGCCCTTTTCTCACTCCTCTGCTTTCCCTTCCTCCTTTGCCTTGCTGTTCTTGCAGCATCAACCCTGTGACAGGACGTGTTGAGGAGAAACTGCCCAACCCCATGGAAGGGATGACTGAGGAGCAGAAGGAATACGAAGCCATGAAGCTGGTCAACATGTTTGACAAACTGTCCAGGTACTAGAAAACTCTGTATGTTCCTGCCTGCATCAGTGCCTGTGTTGTCTGTGGTTTATGTTCCTCACAGACCTTCCTGGGGAAGTGTTCCCAGGGTCACCACTAACCGAAGGGATGTGACAGACTGGGGGGGATAAAAGGGAAATACTTCCTTAAGCTGGTCCCTGTCCTGTGCAGGGGAAGGCAGTGCAAGCCCTGCACCTCTTCAGCATGGTGGAATGCCAGGAAATTCCTTGTATGCCTGTGCTGTGTTTCCAGGCACCTGCTGCCCTGGCAGGTTTGTCCAGGTGCTCAGTGGGAGCAGCTGCCACTGTCCTGGTGAGGCTGCTGAAAGGAAGGGGGTTGGACACAGATGGCAGCCAGTGGCAACAATCCCCTTCCCTGCAGGAGGGGACTCATCTTTCCTCCCTTTTTTCCCTGGGGGGTTTGCCCCGGGGGCTGGGGGGGAGCCCCTGCCACTGTCCTGGTGAGGCTGCTGAAAGGAAGGGGTTTGGAGACAGATGGCAGCCAGTGCCAACAATCCCCTTCCCTGCAGGAGGGCACTCATCTTTCATCCATCATTAATAGGTGCTCTGGAGGAAGCCATAGTCTGCAGGCTGAGTTCAGACCACCCTGGGTGAGAGGGGAAGGGGCAGTGCCCTTTGTGTCCCTGTTTCCATCGGGTGTTCAGCAGCACTGATGCCAGTGCTGATTTTCCTCTGGCAGTCCTGTACCACACCCAGCAGAGCCCTAACCCTGAGCCTGTCCCAGGGGGCCTGGGGATGGCAACCCTTGTGGGTGGCCTCCAGCCATCCCTCACCTGCTGCAGGGTTTAAGGCTAGAACTGACCCTCCTTCCTAAGCAGGGATTCCTGGTGGTGGCCCAGGGCTGTTCTGGGCTGCCCTGGAGGGGTTTCCACACGCTCGTTGCTCCCACCCTAGTGCTGCTCTGTTCTGTGTTGTCTGCTGCAAGTCAGTGTGACCTTCCCCCTCTCCTCCCTGGCTGCAGAGAGCAGGTGATCCAGCCCATGGGCATCACGCCCAGCGGCAGCCTGGCCCCCATGGACAGCGCCATCCACGACATGGCTGAGGAGAGGTCCTCATCCGACTCAGACCTGGGGCTGGACTGATCCAGGCCTCTCGCCCAGCCTCGGAGCTGGGGAGCCTCCCTCTGTGCTCCCTCCAGAACTGGTGCTGCACCCAGAGGCTCATCCTAGGACAGGACTCTCCCTGTGGGGTCGGGATCCAACCTGGACCCATCACAGTCCACACCAAGGAGCACCTCCAGCTTCCTTCCCAGCTCTGTCACCACCTCTTCTCCCAGAGGGTCTTCATGGCCTGGCTCCACCTTGGTCACTCCTGTCAGCAGCCTTGAGGATTCCATGCTCCGATTTGCTTCCAGGACTTTCCAGTAGGATTTTTTGTTTGTTTGTTTAAATACACGATGTTTGGGAAGAAGGGTGGGAGGGGGAGGATCTTCCTATCACGCCCTCGGGGTCCAGCCATCTGTGGAGCACCCCATCTATGTGCCCACACTCAGGGGGGTGTGGTGGGGCCCACGGGTGGAACAGCTCCCCAGGGGACACAGCAGGGAGTGTGGGAGGGGGTTGAAGGGTCCAGCGTGGCAGTTCCTGGGAGCAGAGCCCGTGGGGTGCCGGGGCAGACGGCTGCGTGTGCGGGGCTGAGCACATTCCCATGGGCCACGGGAGAGCAGCACTCCAGGGGCTCCAGAACACTCTGCTGTCCCACCCCTGGCACTGAGCAGCCTTCCTGCTGCCACAGTTCAGTGCTTGGCAGTGTCCTGGCCCCGGCTCCCTCTTCCCAAGTGGGAGGCCAGAACCTGTGTGTTGTGCTGCTCCTCCTCTGCCTTGGCTTTCCCACGGGTCCACTGCCCTTCACACCAGGGGCTGGGCCTGGTCCTGTCCTCTGCTGTGGCATAGACTTGTCTTCTGTTTTGTTTGTTTGTTTTCCTTTTTCAAGAAAATGGTTTTAAGGAAATGTTCCAGTTTGTCTCATGTACCAGAGTTCCAAAACTTACTGTCACAAGTAGGAATGCAAAGTGCTAGAATAAAGAAAACCTGACAAACGGGTGTGTGGCCATGATTCATGGAATGGGAGAATTCTGAGTCAGAAGCGTCTGGTTTTTCTGACTGGCACGTGGTTCTACTCCAATCACCCTGAACTTCACAGTTTTATTTGGGAAGTAAAGTTGGGCTGAGCCAGAACCTTTCCCTGCCCCACAACCAGCAAGTGCCCCCAGGGGGCAACAGGGCTGGGGCTCTAGTGGGGAGGCAGGATGGGCACCACGGGAGGTGCCAGGAGATCTGGGTCTGGGGGGATGCAGAGACAGGGGTGAGTGGTGAGCAGAGGGGTCTGCAAGTGTTGCTGCCTGTGAGGTGGTAGGAGTCGGTGCTTGTTTGCTGAAGAGGGTCTCTGAGGTGGAACACTGGAGGTAGGAGGCCTCGTTCAGGTTAGTCCTGCAGGGATGAAGGATTTCTTCAGTGGCTGTGATTACAGCTCCAGGCTGTCCCAGTATTGATGTAAAACTGACCCTCTGGGATTCACGGGCAGGTTTGTGTCACCAGCACGGCCTCTGTGTGTGGCAGCTGGAGTTTTTAGGCCAACTGCATCTCTCTCCTTTCTAAAAAACCCCAACCTTGCAGACCTTTCCCCTTGTCTCCCTCCAGGCCTTTTAAGTTCTCAGAACCTTTCCATGCAAAAGGAAAAGCATAAGGGTGTATTTTTAATGCCAAGCTTCTGATGTTGTGTTCTCATTTTCGGTCTGGCCGCCCACAGGCTGAGCCTGGCACGGGGGCTTTGGCCTGGGGGCTGCAAAACAGGGTCTGGTGTCAAAACACCACCTCAGCACCCTTCCCAGTGTGATCAAATCCGGGTGCTGGGAGGTGAAATTCCTGCCCTGTTTCAGGTAGGAGACTGTTCTAGACCTGGAGCTGCCCTGCACAGGTGGGAGAGCAGGACGTGGCTGCCGTGCTCTGGCTGATGCTGCCTCTGCCTAGGACAGCAGGGACAGGGAGGAAAGACTGTCTGAGGTTAAAAAGAAATTAAGAATTAAAAAAAAGAAGTGTTCAAACACTAGAGAAGGTGTGTTTACAGGAGAACCCTCAGGTGATATTGGCAAAATAATTAGAACTCATTTTATTATTAAATAATTTAACAGTGATTCAAAACTTTTCCAGCAGCTTGAGCTGGTGCTCCTGAACAGGAATGGGGGGCAGCCCCCCCCTCCCCAATGGCATTAATCCCCTGATTAGCAGAGATTTCATCTGAAGAACAAACACTGCAAGGCTGGAGCAGCTGGAAGGTCATGACAAGGAGGAGCTGGTGGATGCTGGAGAGCTCAGACCAGACTGCAGTGATTCCCCCGAGGTTGGACACCTCGGGGCAGGCAGACCCAGGGCAAGCTGCTCCCTGGTGGAATTCCTGTGGGGCTGGCAGGGGGACAGCAGAGCTCTCCTTGCAGGGTCCTGTGGGGTGAGACAAGGAGGGGCCCACACTCGGCTGCATCAGCTGCTCTGAGGTCTCAGGCAGGAAAGCCTTCACGTGCAGAACCAGTTGGCAGCTCAGCATTGGGCTTCTTCAGCTCCTTCTTGGTGTGCAAGAGCCCCTGCTCTGCCTCCCAGCTGGCTGGACAGAGCCAGGAGCATCCCCTCGGGCCTGGGAGCTGGCCAGGCTCTCCCGGTGCCTCTCTGGTGCTCCCAGCCCTGCTGGGCTTGACCTCCTTCCCGAGTTGCTCTCCAGCAGCCGGGAGCCAGCTGCCCTACTTGTCTTTTGCATCCAGCTAAAAATAGAAAGACCACAGGCTGTTTGCCAGGGTGTTCCAAACCCTCCTGCCCCCAGCTCAGCCAGCAGCTTCCCAGCACCACCCCCCAGGCAGGGAGTTGTTTTTCATGCATTGCTATGTTGGCCTCAGCTTGACCCACCCGTGGCCGGAGCCGCAGGAGCGTGACCCAGAGGCTGGCAGTGCTCACAGAAATGCAGCTCTGTAGTGAAAACTCACAGACCTGCCCAAAGGACTCACCCCTGTTCCCCTGAGCAAGGAACAACCTGAGTGCTAAAGCTGGAATCCTGAAGCCAGGTTATCTCTTGGGTCAGGAGAGCTGTGCACAGACAGTGTCACAAGGGTGCAGAGCCCCCCGTGTGCCCACCCACAAGCTACAGCTTCTGCTTCAATTCAAACAAACCAGTAAGTTTAAAAACTGTTGCATGCCAAGTGTGGCAAAACATTCCCAGCAGGTGTAAAGTAATAATTAAGGTGAGTGCTAAACTCCCAAGTAGTTAAGCACTTGGTCTGCCCCAGTTCCTCAGGTCTGAAGATCTGGGAGGGTTCCAGCTGCCAGAAGGGCACAGGGGCAGGGAGGGTCGGGTCCCTAGTGACCAGTGTGTGGAGCAGGGACCCTCACTGCTGCTCAGCACCTTGCACCTTTGGTTAGTGCCATGGCTGGCTTCTCATAAGGACCACAAACTCACTGGAAGCGGAACCAAAGCAATTCAATGTACAGAGAGAGCAAACTCTGCTGAGGTGGTGCTGGGCTTGGCTCCCTGCAGCCTGAACCTCATCCCTAGAGCTTCCTCAGTGTGTTTGGGAACAGCAAAAACCAGATGGACTCAGGAGCTGTTGGAACTGGAGGGGTCCCTGCCTGAAGCAGCACAGCACCACTCCCTCATCCAAAGCCTTCACGTTCCTCCCATTTCACCCGAGGTTGGCAGATCCACATCCTCCCTGTCCCACAGAAACCCCCAGCAGCACAGTTTGCTGCTCTGCAGCACCTTTGCTGAGACACAGCTCGGGGCTTCTCTTTTCAGACCGTTTGCACCTTTCTGTCTCTCCCACAGGCTGCAGGTGAGTCTGAGCCCGGGCAGCACAGCCCTGCTCCCCTGGGAACAGCTCCAGCACAGGGCAGGAAGGGGCGGGGGGACGGGGCTCTGAGCCCTTCCCACCTTTTGTTTCTCCTTCTGCATTAGTGTCTGCATCTCCTCAGTCCAGCCCAGCAGCTCCACCAGCTTCTCGACCCCGCTGACCACGTCCCCGAGTTGGGCCACGTCCCTGTGGCGCTGGTGCCAGGCGAAGGGTCCCACCAGGTCCCTGTTGAGCAGCACCCGGGGCACGGAGCCACGCACGGCTCCCGCCAGGCTGGCGCAGGGCTCCACCTGCGGGACGGACCCC